GGGTTTCCCAGAAGCAAAGGGCATCTTTGTGATCCTTTCTCACAAACGCTTCTGCTCACACTGCGCAGGCAGGTTACTGCTGTGCCCACAGCTGCTTGTTACATGTGGCAGGGATGCTCATACCCTCCCGTCTTCCATATTCTAGGCTCTCTGTGACCTTTCCTCTCATCTGTCCTCGGGGTGAGGGAAGGGAAACCACCGCATGCTGACAGCGGAAGGGAGGGGGAGAGGAGGGAGGTGTTAGGACCAAGCCAGTTCCCGGGGTCACTGGGTGTGGGTGGGAGGGAGATGGGACTTGAGAGTAGCTTATGTCAGAAGTAGTGCTGAGAGCTGTTTTGGCAGCAGTAACTGTGACAAGACAGAGCAAGCTGCCAGGCCATGTTAAACGGTGCAAGTGTGTTACAGGACATGACTGCACGCTTAGAAGTACAGGGAGATGGCTCATTGGTTGGGCTTGTCTCCTTGTTCTAAGCCCAGGTGCTTGGGACTGTTGCAGCTGACAGACGGCATTACCTGTGGGAGCCATTTTACCAAATGTAGTCAGTCTCGAGGCAGAGTTGCTAACCTGGGTCGCAGGCAGGCTGTTTTTTATTCTGGAAAACTTGAAGGCGGTGACCTGCATCCTCCCTGCTGCGGTACTTGCTTTATGCCAATGAGCCAGGTGCTTCACGCAGCAAAATTCTCCTCTAGATGTTTCACGCGTGAGTCAAAGGGATGGGCCTCCCTTTGCTGTCATACCGCCTTCCCGGGGGCTCCCAGAAATGGGCGACATGGGCCGCATCCTTTTGTTGCCCGTGTGCTCCGCAGCACGGCCCTGCAGTTACATGGAAGATCTGTCCGCCCTTCGCTCCGTGCCGTATTTAGCACATCCTTTTTGCACAGCAGCACTGAGCACCCGCTGCTGCCTGACTGAAGGGTGGGTGCCAGTGCCTGTCTGGCAGTGACTCTCCGTCAGCTCAGTAGGAAACCAGGAGTGAAAAACTCACAGGCAGACAAATGATACATCTTTAACTCCACCTACTTATGTGTGTCCCAGAGTCCTGCTGTTTTCTGTTGCCTGCCCAAAGACCCTGGGGCATGAGCACCTTCTGGACAGGATTAAATTCATTTCGCAGTGTCTTGTGGTGGCTGAGGCGCAAAGAGCTGCTGTCCGTCGGTCCCTGTGGTCGCGCTGAGACCAGTCCGTGGTGACACGGGGCAGAAGACTGAATTCAGGCCTCCTGAGTGCCAGCAAACGTCTTCATCCCAAGACCATCTGTCTCCTGCTTCCCCCTTTTGCTCTTCCCTTACTGTGAGTGGGAAAGTTGTTCCTGCTCCTGTCAGGGAAGCCCGTTGTTGCCTGCTGACCTTACCTGGCACCATCAGGATTCAGCCCTGAGCGGTGCAGCAGTGGGGGCTCCGTTGTGACTGAGGTCTCTCCTCCCCACACTAGCAGACACTGGGTGGGGAGTGCTGAATCATCCCCGTAGTCATTCTGCTGTTGGCTTTGTGTCCTGTCGCGGTGCGGTTTGTGTCTGGCAAAGTGCTGTGGGGTTACAGGCACTGCCACATGCCAGAGTGAAGCTGACAGCAGGCTTTTGCACTCTTCCAAAAGTTAACAGTGCTGAGGAACAGGCAGGAGGGGAATGTATCAGCTTGAGAGAAGAGGTGGCGTGGTAAGGCAGAGGCAGCACAGTCTCCTAAGCACTGCAGTGCTGGGGGGCTCCCATGGGTGCTCACTGCCACTTTGCCTGAGGGTTTACATCCTTGGCAGGATATTTCTCAGGGGCTGCCGGTGCTGAAGGCTCTTGCAAACCTTGACAGCTGGCGTCTGTTCCTAGGACAGCGTCCTAGTGCGATGTTTCTTTGCAGTCCATGTTCAGATCCCCAGGTACGCTTGTTTGTATTCTGAAGTGTGAATTGCCAGTTGTTCCTTTACACTTGAGATGTCAGCTCCAGAGTGAATGAAAGCTGACAGGCTGTGAGCTCAGAAACAACTCCTGGGAAAGCTGTGCCTTGTGCCCGTGCCCTGCCCCTCTCCTTGGCCTGCTCCCTTGCTGGAGGGGGCTCTGCAGCTAGGGAGCTCGCCCTGGTTGTGCCTCGGAGAGGGGAGGGGGAGCTCCTGTTCTCCCATGAAACAGGCGTTACAAGGTTTTGACAAGGAGGGAGTCGCTGGCTAACCCTTGTTCCCCTATGTGTCGCAGGGCCACTTGAATGGGATTTTGAAATGGTTCTGGACTCACAGCCAGGGCTTAGTTGTCATTCCCCCACACCTTTCCCAGGGGTTAGAGGGGTCTGTGTCCTTCCTCTCCTGAGTTTCTTGTGTTTTGCAGGCACTACATTTCATGCATTGCTCATCAAGGCACTGCTGTGTCCTGGCAGATGGACATTCGTCAGCCCAGACAGCCAGGGCAGTCTGAGACGTGAACAGCCCCCGTCTGACAGTGCAGCCGAGCTAGGAGGAAGCGGCACTTGTTACCTTCTTTACCAGTATCCCCTGTCCTTCCTATTTTCAGATCAGCATCTTCATGACCCACCTGTCCAACTATGGGAACGACCGCCTGGGACTGTACACTTTTGAGAGCCTGGTCAAGTTCGTGCAGTGCTGGACCAACCTTCGCCTGCAAACACTGCCCCCTGTCCAGCTTGCAAAGAAGTACTTCGAAATCTTTCCCCAGGAGAAGAACCCCTTGTGGCAGGTGAGAAGGCAGCTTTAACCGCTCCTAGTGGTTTTCCAAGAGGTGTGTCCCACATCTGACATGTGGCGAGACCGCTGATCCAGAGCGCAGTGGGGTAAGGCGTAAAGCTTTTGGTTTAACCTCTGTGGCTTGAGGCTGCAGGTGGCAAATTGCAAGGTGGGAAGGGATAGGCGGGAGTAGGAGCAGTAGGACACAGTCATGGTGTGAGCTTGGGATGGGGATGGCTGTTGTAAGTGACTGGGGGGCAGGCTTGCAGGCATTTGGGCCGTTACAGGGCTTACATTAGAGCAAGCTGCTGTGGAATGCTAAGTGTGCAGGGAAGAACGCTGTTTGGTGCTGGAGGAGCTTGCAGGCATGTTAATGTGATTAATCTTAAAGTAATTTCACACTGCAGAATTCATGTTCATTAAATAAAAACATGCTTATTCCACTTCATCCCAGTGCAGCAGCTCTCTGCATGGTAATGAGCAGATGAAATTAACTGAAGGTGATAGAGTTGTCTGTCTGCCAGAAGTTCACAGATGCTGAGCTGTACTATCGCGGTGGCCCAGCCCAGCGTAGCTACAGAGGACAGGGCCTGTGGTTAACACTCTCAGAGGGACTTGGCTCCCGTGTCACTTCAGAGCTTTTGAAAACATAAAACGTTCCCCCGTGTTTTTCCTTAACCCTTATTGATGCCTGGCAGAGCAGCGTGTGGCTGTGAAGTGTTCTTCATATGCTAATAGCGTTTTCCCCAGACGACTGGCCTTCCAGCTTTTCCTCCCCTTTCCATTAGCTCCTGTGGTAATGCTTAATCCCATCACTTGTGCTGCAGAATCCCTGTGACGATAAGAGGCACAAGGATATCTGGTCCAAAGAGAAAACGTGCGATCGACTCCCCAAGTTCCTCATCGTGGGACCTCAGAAAACTGGTAACGTGAATACTTTATCCAGAGGTAGATGGCAGCCTCCGTCTCGTTCCTCCCGAGGAGAGACGGAAAGGTCTGTGGGGTAGGTCTGTGTGGCTGCCCTCTGTGCAGGCTGCCCGCAGAGGGCATTGCAGAGAATCTGAGGTTGGTTCTAACCTAACTCCAGCAGGCCTGTCGGTACGCTGTGCCTGGCACCTCGCGTGGCTCAGGCCCCATGTGGAGGGAAAAGCCCCACCTCTGGAGCTGTGCTTTGGCTTCTCCACGGAAGCCCGGAGGAACTGTGACCTTTCATAGTGTGTCACAGGACACAAGCTGTCGGCAGGATGAGCACACACGCCTAGCAAAGCTCACGAGGAATGCCCCCTCCTGCTTTTACTGTGACAGATCAGTGTACCCACTGCACGCTCCCTGTCGCCGGGAGGTGGGGATCCTCTTTTGTCTGTCCTCTGTCACCACCCCTCAGCTGCTGTGGCTCATGTTTGGCAGTGGCACAGCTCTCTGTGTGACTCTGTCCTGACCAGTCCCTTCCAGGCTGAGGAGAACAAAATCTCCAGCCAGAGCAGGTCTCCAAACCCCGGCTTTCCCTGCCGTGCGGTGAGACGGCAGCCACCAACCGCACACAGCGAACGGCGATCCTGGCCGTGGGAGGAAGCTGGTCCCAGCCAAGCTGCTGCCTCCTGCCTGCGTCACTGTGAAGCTCTGTTGGCGTGTGCGCAGCGTGGGCCCCCCTGTACGGCAGCCCAAGCTGCTGCGGCCTGCAGGAGTTATGGGGTGGGTCAGCCACCCCTGACAGGAGTGTGCCCACCTGGGCACCGCCTTCTGCCGCGTGAAGCCTTCCATTCCTGCGTGACCCAGGTCCCGTGAACTGCTTCCTGTTGCAGGCACAACAGCTGTACACTTCTTCTTGACCATGCATCCGGCTGTCACCAGTAACTTCCCGAGTCCATCCACCTTTGAGGAGATCCAGTTTTTTAATGGACCCAACTACCACAAAGGAATTGATTGGTAAGAATCCTGACGCATGTTCGTCTGGGCTAAGGTGTGCCTGTCTTGTCTCCTGAGTCCCTCTGGTATGCCCACCTCAGCCAGCTCAGTGCCTCTCGGCTCCTGCTCTTGCTCGGCATGTTCTCCATTCTCCTGCTGACCCAACTGCTTGGGCCCAGGAGCAGGACAGGCAGGTTCTGATTTTAGTGCCTGTTCACCGGGGGATTTCTAGGTATGATTTAGCTTTAAAAATTCCGAGTCTTTGTTGAATGCACTGCATCATGACGTTTCTTCTCGTTTGACATGCAAAACAAACAGCCATGTGGTCATTAAAAAAGTTCTTCCTGGAGAGGGTGGTGAGGCACTGGAACAGGTTGCCCAGAGAAGCTGTGGATGCCCCATCCCTGGAAGTGCTCAAGGCCAGGCTGGATGAGGCTTTGAGCAACCTGGTCTAGTGCAAGGTGTCCCTACCCATGGCAGGGGGGTTGGAACTAGATGGTCTTTAAGGTCCCTTCCAACTCTAACCATTCTGTGATTGTGAGTTAGGACGCACAGTACAAGGGGCACAACCTCCCTGCTGCTGTTCCTGCCCTTTAGACGTAGAGCCACTGCTGCCTTCTGGCGCTGGCTGCTGTGTCCGCATGCATGCCCTGATCTTTCCCTGTGACGATGAAGTGTTTCCCCCCGGCAGGGAAACACTGGTGTCACTGTGGCACTGGTATGCCGCTGTGTTTCCAGGCATAGGCCTTGTAAAGGTGTTCCTTGCTCGAAGCATTGACTTTGGGTCAGCCGTGGCACCACGCTGCCTCCTGCGCGGCCCTGGGGGACGGCTGTGTGTCCTGGAATGTGTC